TTTTATTATGTGTAGAATTGTTTAAAACTAATTGAACATGGTAACAAACTCATAACAGTTTTGTGAATTGCCACATGCTGCTACATTTTTTTTGGGGTTTTAATTATTAATAACATTAAATAATAGAAACCTTAAGTTTTTTTTAATACTACTAGCTTTACATACTGGTTTGCACCTTTAATAAGGCTTACTTGTACATTATGTAAACTTGATTTTATGCCAATCAGTCCCCCTCCCCACACATGTGATGTCAGCATTATTTGTATTCCTTACATTTTACAGCAATAATTCATAAGTGTGTCTTATGGATATCTGAGGTATGAAGGAATATGTGAGAACACGTTCTCCCTCCCCCTCATTGCCGAATTTGAAAACGTTTGAAATGGTTTTTAGTATTCAATCCATACATTTTAGAGCAAGAATCTTATGTACATCTGTTTCTCCCTTATATGAAAAACATAAAAACTTGTTTTGCAAAAATCGCTTCTTAAATAACATCTTCGATACAAAGTAATAAGCCTAAGTTTTGATATCTGTATCTCTAATAGCTTCGGGCGATGATCTGTCCGTGAATAAATGAATAAATCAGAGAATTCTTCCTTTATGTATAGATTTATAATAAAACATCTGAACAAATAAATATATATACCAATTAAAAGAAAACATTTCAAAAAACTAATAAAATTAATTAATTTTACATTCAGTAATGCGCACCAAGTTCGATAACGTTTTAAAAAAATCGGCTTTGACCACGCCAGCTCCTTGGGGTAAACACGCTGCGCGTGAATCTGCGCAAACGATCAAGGAGACATATTTATACTAATTCTTTACTATTTTGACCTATGAAAACAAAAAACAATTTTATTTTATTTAATTCAAAGAATCCATTTTCAGTGTTACTAGAAATTTAGCCTTGTTAAAAAATCCCTTTTACATTAGTAACAAATTCTGAAATAATTTCATTTCATGTAATTTTATTTTGATCTAGGAAAACCAATAATTTTGCAGATATTCAGTGTTAAATTGTACTTACCGGTCATAGTATCTGGTTAAACAATTCAGCATTTGTTTGTACGGTGGTGTTAACAATATGAGTAAAAAAGGGTAAGGCACCAATAAAAAATACATATTGTTCGTAAAGTGTGTCTTTAAATGTTTCCTTCCTTATTCACACCAATATGTAGTTGTTCCCTAAAGTGTTCGTACACTTATGAGTTTCAGTGAAATATTGCTGTGAGAATTTTTTAATAATACCTATAAATTTATCTTAGCAAAACTATATAAAAGTATTTTAAGAATACAGTAAAACTTTTGGGGGGGAATAAATAATTAAAAAGTAACAAAAAAAGTTACCTCACAAAAATCTTGGTGCACTTTTTAAAAGAAATCTGCAGACACATTACGAAATACCGCAGTTAAATTTCTGTCAATTTTTGTAGGATATCCTGCAGCATTCAAGCTTGTAAGTTGTTTGTAATACATAAATTGTAAAAATTATCTTTTAAGATATTAGAAGAGGAATTTTTTTTAAAAATTTGGTTTTATTCAAAATCGTATCAAGATATGAGAAAATATTGGGCTTTATAATCGAATTCAATTCCAGGCTACAGCACATTTTATACAAATGCTTAAAGTGTATGAACATTTTTGGGAGCCACTGTGTCACAAACACAGTTATCTTGGATATTTACAGAAGAACACGGAACTATTTCTCTATTATGAGGAACACTTAATGGAAAAAACAAGCTATTTATTTAAATTATTCCAAATACATGAAATATTTGCTGCTCTATCAAAAATGGAGATATTATATTATATTATAATTATCAAAGCTTAGTTTCTTTAAACTTGAAAATGATTTACCTAATAGGATCCTTAGGAAATCTGAAAAATTTCCGTCTGGTGTTTTCGAGATGTTGTCCCACAAACACTACAGCGATACCAGGATTTGGGTTGTTTGCTAAGTAAAAGATAGATTGAGTTAGTCTGTTATTCACTAAACCACATCAAATATTGAGAGAAATCAAAATTATTTTTATAATAATGAATATAAAATTTTCAAAAATAATCATAAAATACGAAAAATTGTATATAACTATCAATATACTACATTAAAATAGTCTTCAGTGGCCACTAATATAACTAAGTTTATAAATTCTCAGATAAATTATTTGGTTATATAGCATAAATTTAAAGCTGAAGCATAATACAATTTATTCATAAAATTAATTTATGCAATTATACATGCCATTAGTTGCCGCATTATTATAAATGGCAAATTTATTCTGATCGCTCGTTTTGTCGTAATATTATTATAGTTGACTTTAAGCTTAAAACTCAGTAAAAAATTTGGAAAGAAATAGCATATGCCTGCAAAAAACTATAGTATTGTTTGCCATATGATAATATATAAATTGAGATTCATATGCTAAAATTGCAAGTAATATTAGATGAAAATCAGCTGCGTTGATACATAGACAAAATTTTGGAGCTGGGATCAAAATTTTAAAATCTTTTTAAACTATGGTTTCAATTAAGAAGATGTCCAGAAAGAATCGTATCGGAGTAAAATCTCAACGCTTAAATCCGGAAACTGAAAAAACCATCAAAGAACGTAGGAAAGAATGAAAGCTTCCATAGACGCAATGTAAACTTGTTTCGCCTCTGCGCCGCTATATCGAGGAGCCACGGCTATGCAGTGAAACAGCAGCGCAGGGTGGAATTTAAATAGCGCAGTCCGAGGAGATAGTAATTTTTTTTACTTTGAAATTCCTCAAAATGTTTTATTTTCATACATTTCAGATAAATTGTGTAGCTGATCTTTTATCTTCTAATCTTTAATCGTCTAGATGTTTCGCATAGAACATCCTAAAATTCAATTGCAAAATAAATGAATAAATAAATAAATTTTATTATTTTTATATTCCTTATTTTACCCCTTAACCCTTCTTTCTGTAAACTCACATAATTGTTATTCTTTTGATATAATATCTAGCATTAATTTATAACTAACATCAGAATTAATAGAAAACAAAATTAACTACTGCCGTGATGTTAGATTTCTAACAAATCTGCAATTAATTACATAAATAACGCTATTTTTCTTTTCATATCAAGCATATTATTAAATATTAAAACAAAGAATAACACATTTGAGGTAAAAAAATGATTTTTATTGACATTTCTCAAGTTTTAGAATATACATATGCAAAATAATTTTAAGCATCTTCACAAATACCAAGAAATTTTTTAGACAATTATTTGGAATGACCATTATGAAAACAATGAGCAAATTTTGCAGCCAAGAACCAAAAGCATTTCACTTAAATTAACAAATACAAAATTACACTTAAAAGGCCTTTTAAAGAATTTCACATAAATTATTAAAATAAGTGATTTCATTACTTTTTCATAAAATATTCAATACTTCTTACATTTATTAATACAAGATTAAATACTGAACTTGAAAATCAAACCTTCCAGGTGTTATTAAAACCTGGGAAGAAATTTTATAAATAATCCACTGAATCAAATAAATATTGTTGCAGCTCATCCTGATGAAGATTATTTCAAATTATGAAATTAGAAATTGATTTTTTTAAATAGCAATTACAAAAATGACTATTTTCCATCTTCACTATACATATAATAATTCTAAAAATGCTGTATGCTTGGGCTTGGATTTTACATAATTTTAATTTTGCAAAAATCTATTTAATAATCCCGAATTATTCGACCAATGAGTACATTTAATTCTGTAAGCTTAAAAAAGAAAAAACACATACCATGCAATTCATAATAAATTTTTATAACTCCATATTTAAAATTTTATGAGCAAAATTTGCATGATAACTAACTGAAACAAAAAAAAATAATTAAAAACAATTACAAGTACCCCTAAATAAATTGAAAACACTGAATTCATTATAATTATCTGACCTCAACTTTAAAAAAAAAAAAAAAAAAAAAAAAGAAATTTTAATTATTTGGAATGACCATTATGAAAAAAGAGCAAAGTTTGCAACCAAAAAGTCAAAAGCATTTCACTTAAATTAACAAATACAAGATTACATTTAAAAAGTCTTATAAAAGTTGCACAAAAATTATTAAAATAACTAATTTCATTCTTTTGGTTCATAAAATATTCAATACTTCTCACATTTATTAATATAAGATTAAATACTTAACTTGAAAATCAAACCTATAGGTATTAAGAAGTTTTGTAAATAATCCACTGAATCAAATAAATATTGCTGCAGCTCATCCTGATGAAGATTGTTTCAAATTATGAAATTAGAAATTAATTCTTTTAAATAGCAATTGCAAGAAATGCCTATTTTCCACCTTCACTATACATATAATAATTCTAAAAATGCTGTATGCTTGGATTTTACATAATTTTAATTTTGCCAAAAATCAACAGTCAATATTTCGACTAATAACCGTCAATTTTGTTTTGTTGTACAGCATTCTTTGAGCATAACATGACAGGCGATCCAAACCATCAATTTTGTTGCACAGTATTCTTTGAGCATAACATGACAGGTGATCCACTATTATTGACGAGTTATTTCTTAGATAGCGCTATTGTTAAGCATATTGAAATAATAACAATAAACAATGTAGATACCTGTTTGTTCAAAATTTTTGTCGGCACTGCACAGGAATGTAAATATCGCATCTTTGGTGAACAGTAATCGTGATCTTTGAAATGTGACGAACATATTAGTGCAGTTTTATACAAATCAGTTGGTGATTTATTTAACAAGTCTTGACAGGCGATCCAAACCATCAATTTTGTTGCACAGTATTCTTTGAGCATAACATGACAGGTGATCCACTATTATTGATGAGTTATTTCTTAGATGGCACTATTGTTAAGCATATTGAAATAATAACAGTAAACACTGTAGATACCTGTTTGTTCAAATTTTGTCGGCACTGCACAGGAATGTAAATATCGCATCTTTGGTGAACAGTAATCATGATCTTTGGAGTGTGACGAACATATTAGTGCAGTTTTATACAAATTAGTTGGTGATTATATTTAACAAGTCTTGATTACTGCATGCGGGAGCCCATTGTTTTGATCTATAAAAATGAAAAACATTAATTTTATATTTTAAATTTCAATAAATCCATTTTCAGTGTTAGTAGAAAAATAGCAAACTAAAAACATTCCTTATACATTAGTTACACAATCTCGAGAAGGGTATATATTTTTTTAAGAACAAACATTAAATTATAATTTAAGGAAAAATTCATGTACATAATATGATTTATTACATTTCTGACATATTTATACTAATTCTCTATTATTTTGATCTATGAAAACAAAAAAAAACAATTTTATTTTCTTTAATTAAAAGAACCTCTTTTCAGTGTTATTAGAAATTTAACCTTGTTAAAAAATTCCTTTTACATTAGTAACAAATTCTGAAACGATTGCATTTCATCTAATTTTATTTTGATGTACGAAAACCAATAATTTTGCAGATATTGTGTTAAATTGTGTAGTTACCGGTCATAGTATCTAGTTAAACAATTTAGCATTTCTTTGTACAGTTTTGTTAACAATATGATTAAAAAAGGATAAGGCACCAATAAAAAGTACACATTGTTCTTGTTCGTAAAGTGCATCTTTAAAATGTTTCCTTCCTTATTCACACTAATATGTAGTGGTTCCCTAAAGTGTTCGTACACTTATGTTTCAGTGAAATAGTGCTGTGAGAATTTTTTAATATCTATAAATTTATCTTAGCAAAACTCTATAAAAGTATTATAAGAATACAGTAAAACTTTGGGGGGGGGGAATTAATAATTAAAAAGTAACAAAAAAGTTACCTCACAAAAATCTTCGTGCACTTTAAAGAAATCTGCAGACACTATTACGAAATATTGCAGTTAAATTTCTGTCAGTTTTTGTAGGATATCCTGCAGCATTCAAGCTTGTAATACATAAATTACAAAAATTATCTTCTAAAATATTAGAAGAAAAAAATTTTAAAAAAATTTGGTTTTATTCAAAATCACTTCGAGATATGAGAAAATATTGGGCTTTATAATCAAATTCAATTCCGGGCTACAGCGCATTTTTTACAAATTCTTAAAGTGTATGAACACTTTTGGGAGCAACTGTATCACAAGCACAGTTATCTTGAATATTTACAGAAGAACACTGAACTATTTGTCCATGATGAGGAACACTTAATGGAAAAAAAACAAGCTATTTATTTAAATTATTCCAAATACATGAAATATTTGCTTCTCTATCAAAAATTGAGATATATATATATTATTAATTATCAAAGCTTAGTTTCTTTTAAACTTAGAAATGATTTACCTAATAGGATCCTTAGGAAATCTGAAAAATTTCCTGTCTGGTGTTTTTCGAGATGTTGTCCCACAAACACTACAGCGATACCAGGATTTGGGTTGTTTGCTAAGTAAAAGATAGATTGAGTTAGTCTGTTATTCACTAAACCACATCAAATATTGAGAGAAATCAAAATTATATTTTTATAATAATGAATATAAAATTTTCAAAAATAATCATAAAATACGAAAAATTGTATATAACTATCAATATACTACATTAAAAATAGTCTTCAGTGGCCACTAATATTAAATAAGTTTATAAATTTTCTCAGATAAATTATTTGGTAATCTATAGCATAAATTTAAAGCTGAAGCATAATACAATTTATTAATAAAATTAATTTTATGCAATCATACATGCCATTAGTTGCCGCATTATTATAAATGGCAAATTTATTCCTGATCGCTCGTTTTGTCGTAATATTATTATTAGTTGACTTTAAAGCTTAAAACTCAGTAAAAAAATTTGGAAAGAAATAGCAATATGCCTGCAAAAACTATAGTATTTGTTTGCCATATGATTAATTATATAAATTGAGATTCATATGCTAAAATGCAAAGTTAATATATTAAGAATGAAAATCTAGCTGCTGTGTGATACAATGAGACAAAATATTTTTGGAGCTTGGGAATCAAAATTAATGTACTATACAAAATCAATTTTTAAAATCTATGATAGGTTTTCGAATTAAAAAAGCAAGCTTACCTCACAGAAAGAGAATCGGGTGAATTCCGGTGATCGTCCTTGCGAAACATCCATCTTATGATCAGCTTAAATAACCAGAGAAAAGAACTGAAAAAAACTTTCAATGAACCTCTTCGAACAACGTGGTAAAAGATTGCTAATATGGCTGACGACATGCCGGTTTCTTGCCTGCTATTTCGCACATGCGCAGAAAGGTACGGAGGGTGGATGGATTGCCCCTTTAAAATAAGCTTCAGGGACATACACAGTGTCTCTTCAGTCTGACGGAGCCACATTTGCCTCGGAAAACCTTTACTTCTTCTCCTTACATTCTTTGTCATCTAGACGCATGAAGGTAAGAAGGTCTCTTCAAGTTTCTCCGTACCTGGTTAAGCACCGATCCTAGTGTGACCAAAACATTGCATTACCATTGTTCGGATTGACGCTTCGGGTGTAAATATTTTGTAATTAAGTCGCAAATATACATATAAATGTATATATTTTCTTTTACAAACACTTCAGAGTCCTAAGTATGTGAAAAACAACATATTTTTAAACAACATTTCATCTGAACGGAATTAAATGCTAACTTTTCACAGGACAGTTTTCTCAGAATGGTTTAATTTGAATGAATATTTTCACAAGTTTTCGTTAATTAAATTAGAAAAAAAAATTATGTAATTGATTTATTCGGTTAAGGTACAAAAATTAAGATCAAAGTTTATTGTATTATTAATATTAAAATTATGCATTATTTCTTTTCTATTTATAGAGCTTCTTCCTAAAATACTTTCTTAAATTGACCATGATTTTTTGGCTTCTTTTAAATCGAAAAATGTAAGTCAATTTATAATTAATGCTCTATTCGGTTCATTTAAATTAGAGAATATTAGGAATTAGCGAAATACTTTAAAGAAGTATTTCGCTAATTCCTAATAATTAAATAGGTATTAAATAGTATTTGACTTTCTCTGAACATTTCTGAAAGGGAATAAAATAAGTTTTTTTTTTTTTTTTTTTTTTAAGTATTATTTAAAACTTGTAACTGAGTTCTTATAAAATGTAAAGGGAATAATTCTTTTAATTATACTTATCAGTTTTTTTTTAACCCTTCATTTCAACAATACATATTCCAAAACTCTTTATTACGTTCTTAAGTGTGCGCATCTCATAGCATTTGCTTTACAATACCTTTTAACAGATTGCTTTCCAATACGAACAATTCTTGCTTAAATAGTTTTATAACGTATTGTCAACAGGATTTCAATTTAGTTTACAATTCATATTAAGGTTATTATATATTTAGATAACATTTATAATCATTATAAATTAGATACATTTAATCATTAGATTTCTTCACAGTACTTTCACAGTTGTTTATAAGAGAATAAATTCGTCATTTCAAATATATTTATAAATAATTTAATGAATATTTATGTATTTTGACAAAGGACAGATACATGCTTTTTGCAAGCACATGCATAAATACCCATACATATTTCCTATTTATCATTTACGGCATGTGCAATCTTTAATTTCTGTGCATTCACTATATTTTTCGTGTAAAGTAATTTACACTAATTAGCCTACACCCGAAATTTTACATAAAAAAATATATGAATATAATTGAGTGAAAAATTATAAGTATTATTTTAATACCCACTCAAGGTCAGTTTTCTTCAAAAAATTCCTCCACGATGGCATCTCTCTCTTTAGGCAAATAGTCCTTGCATGCGTTACTCTATTTAATAAAAACTTAATCTGACCTATGTGCCTAATTACAAATATTTTAACATACATAATTATATATTTACATTTAGCTATCAAGTTTCAAAATTTTCAAATCTTGGAGAAATAAATTTTGGCAGATCTCTTTTAGCAATTTTCTTAAAATCTATATTTTTAGTGCAACAGCTTAGAATTTTATTAAAAAAAATTCATAATCAAAATCGCTGTTGTAGTTATCGAAAAATAACCAAGATTTTGCGTAAATGTCAGTAAACTATACAAACTGCTATTATCCATCACACTATGAATGTTTTTTCATGCGAGAGTGTCCCTTTTTCGATTTCTATGGAACTGTCGTGTGTCGAAATACTATCAGAATCTTGTCAAGCGAGCTTCTGAATGTAAACAAAGAACACCCCGTCTGGTGACCCAAGCGTCAAAGCAGTGCTTCACTTCTAGCGCGGAATGGCCCCTCCTCCCTTTCCTACCTCCATGCTAGACGCTTGTTTCGTACCAAGGTTCTTTAATATACTAAGGTTAGGCCAGGAACGGAAAAAGCGTGCCATTGGTTGCTGGTAGTGACGTCACCCTGGAGACAAGAAACATCGACCGACGCGTCTGCTACATGATTCTGGTAATGGAAAAAATGTAAACTAAAGCAAAATGATCATTTTATATGTGGTAGATACACCGGAAATACCGGGTATATACTTTCCGATTAAGTATTTTGTTAAAGAAAATGTTTATTTTATGCACAGAATTCGTACGAATGCTGAAAATAATTGTAAACATTAAATTCTTTTCGTAAAGGAAAGCATCATTAGAAAAGAAAAACGATATTTAAGTTAATTAATGGAAATAAATATTGTAAAACAAGGTATTTTTCAATATTTTTTCGTAGTATTGTTTGCACTAAATAAATCTTGTTGAACAGAACACATGATGGCATAACTGCTAAGACCATGGAAAAACATAATCAAAAAAGTATTATTCTATTTATTTTCATTGCTCATGCACTCTTTTTTTAATACAAATGAACTTTGACATTCCATAAGAAATATATGATCGTGATTTTCAGTTAAATTACATATCAAGCAAAAGTATATATAAAAAGATTTGACTTAACAAATTCATATTTAAATACCATAAAATTCTACAAATTTCTTAATATCCGTCATTTATACATTTAAATAGTATGCTTATCGCATTCTTTATAAAGTGAAAAGTCACTTCATACTGATTCACTTCAGATTTTAGCAGAAGTGCGTATATTTTCAGTATAATCTAGAAGTACTCTTATAATCCCTTACACTGCCAAGATTTCTATATAACATTTATCCTGACGTGATTATTTGCTATAGTAAATAATCTTCGATATTGGCATCCTATTCTTCCTTCCATACATTAAAAATGGAACAATTAAAATACCTTTTCTTACACATATACGCACAATAATAATAATAAAAAACTTGCCCTACATCTTAGTTTCGGCCCACCAGCGGCCGAGCGGTAAAGTCGCTGAACACTGGTAGTTCGGTCCGAATCCCGCGAACGGGTGGCTGCATGTGTGTTTTCGTGGTTTTCCTCATGCGTAACATGTATACGAGCCAGTTTCCCTGACAAAGTCCTCCACGAAGACATCACACCTATTACGCAGATCACCCTAGTGTGCTTTGCCATAATTAAATACACCACCACATCTTAATTTCAATTCAGCCTGTACACAAATTAAATATTTTTAATTACTAATGTATTTTTATCAGGTTGTTTCTTAAAATACTTTTGTTATACTCGAAATATGTGTTCAATATTGAATTATTTTTCTTTCTCTTATAATTAAAAACAAATTATATGGAATCAAAATTAAAACATATGCAGCAGTTAAATAACACTGAAGACCTAGAATATCTTACTTAATCTTTCGCTATTTGTATTCCAGCACAATACACAGATTTGTTTTCCTTTCAGGGTCAAGCATGGATAAGTTCATTTAGTTATATCAATTAAATTACATCTCACATACCTGTATGCATCAGTTAAATATACACTGAAGGAAATATGTCACTCACTCATTTCGATGTTTGCATCACAGTGTGGTCGAGAAATTGTTCTTTCCTCACGGTGAGGCATGTATGAGTTTACTTAGTTTCGCAATGCTTAACCTCAGATGCTGCTTCAATACATAGAATACGTTTGGGATGTAAAGAAAGTAAGCCAAAACATGTGAATAAAGTTGGATAACGCGAATTTATCAACTAATTCATTCAGGTACTCAGTATTGGTAAACATGGACATTGAGTTTAAATATCTCACTACGATGTAAGTCTCATACAAAATGAAGATTATGATAAAAAATGATTTAAAATGAGAAATTTTTCAATTTAAATGTAAAATAGCAGTAAAAATGAAAAATAAATGTAAAATTACATCACAGTTATGTATGAAAACTACATAAATTCATTAAAAAAATAGTTATTTTATCTGGTTGTAAAGAGTGTTTTTCCGCCAAAAACGTATTAACGTGTTAATTCTGACACAACGCTATAGCACAATTTGCCACTTCCGCCTAAATATAATAGCAAATTAACAACGGAAATCAAATCAAACTGTTGATGCAACGAAAGTAAACAAACGCCAAGAACTAACGCTGTCACCCACATGACGTCATGCGTATGTGGCATAACTTTCTCCCTGCACTGCGCATCGCTCTTGGGCCCCCCCCCTGGTTTCGTACAAAGACATAGACGTTCTTTAGCAGAGACACAGGCGCGTAGCAGGTGTGAAGGTTGTGCATTTTGTCTGTCCGTTTCTTGGTTTGCAGTTGTAATTTGTTGTTGACGCTGGAAGTCATATTTCTGCGAAATTCAATCTGTATTGCATTTTAGTGTGCTTTTTTCAAAGTTTGGTTAATGTAAGGAATGTGAAGTGTTTCCCTGTAGAAGACCCTTGAGATTATATGAAATAAATGAAAAGTAAGTTATGTAAGTTTATAGAATTAAACAATCATCTTCGATGGAGTCTACTTAACTGCATCGAAAACATTACTTCATTAGTTTACTTAACAATATAACAATCTGTTTTGTCACATGAATCATTCTGTTGAACACAATTAAGTTCAGTCTTTAGCCAACAACCCGCAACAGAATTTTTAAGGTTGCCTTTCAATTTAGGAATTCATAATTAAATAATTTTTTTTTTTTTAGTTTGCCATTAGTCATTCAAATAATATATAAATTATTGGAATATATCTTCAGATTGTGCTGCAAGTTATTGCTGTTCATGAATATAAATAATTGAATTTCCATTCTGAGATCTGTTTAAGAATATGTAGATTATTATTACCTGAATAAATCCTCTGTCCAATAAACTCTATATCGTAATATACTAATAGCAGTAGTAATATAATGTCTTGCTAAAAAAGTCATAGTACCTAAAAAAAAGATTTACGTTTATAAATAAACAGCAACATTTTATAAGCAGGTGTGGTTTCAAATAATTAAATAAATGCTTCCAATGCAAATATTGAAGTTTAATATTTCAAAATAAATTGATAATATTGAAATTTA